CTTGATCTAAGCAGCGCTAAGTGTTTTTACATAAAAATTTTTTTTATTTAAATAAAATTTTATCATTTATTTTATACTGTTACTTTATAATTCTTTGTAATAAAAACGTAAATTGAGTAAAGCAATTTTGTGATATAACAATATTTTAAAGCTAAATAATTACTTGGGTTAGAAAAAGAAGTTTTTAATGGATAGAAAGATACACATATAATTTGGTTTTTATTATTTTTAAATTAAAGAAACTACTACTTGAGTTTTATTTTTTTAAAACAGTGGTTTATCAAATCTTTTATACGATTGAAATATATAATTTGATTAAAATGGACTTGTAGCTTCATGTTTGTAAGACTATAATTTGGCGCCAATTATTGATATCAAATCTTTTATATAAATTTTACACAATCATTTGAGTTGGCAATATCCACTATACTTGACACCTTTTTTTAAAAAAAAGTTGTTTTTATACGCTAATTTCTAAACGTACTTAATAACATAGTCATTTTTTATGTTTATATAATACACATTTATATATTACATCATTCATTATAAATATTACAATAAAGATACTCGAAAAAATGCTTTAAACGTAATGATTTTTTACACCAACAACATCTTACAGTTATATTGTACAGTATATTGTTGTAACGTTCGATATCACATGTTGAAGTTTTGTCAAAACTAAATATAAATAAAAACTAAATGAATAAAGAAATAAAAATAAATATGCTATAAATATACTATTGTACAGGATTTTTAAATTTTTCTGGTCTTTCGTTCGTATATTTTTTAAACCACGAATATTTAAACAAGTTGCGATATCGAGGAAATGAATATCAGAGATTATAATTTTATCATTTCGTTAATGAATTTTTTGTTAATAAATTTATATTTCTTTCCAATAATAAAGCAATATTCAAAAAGTTTTTAGCAAAATTTATCTAAATTGTAAATCTATATAAACATTTAATGGTTGTATTTTCCCTATAATACCTTTTAATTATCATTGTATTAATGTGTTTTTCTGCAGATATGAAATCAAAAATAATATTGGAACAATGTTCACTCCAAGAATCAATAATAAGAACGCTATCAGGACCAACATTTGGAAAGAAAGCTTTTTCTAACCAAGATTTAAAATGATCTGTACGAAACAAAAATTTTAAATTAATAACATTTTATTTTATTAAATTGATAAAATAATTATAAAAGAAATAATTAAAATTTGTGTATACTTGCTGTTATTTTATCAGACTTTGATGCTTTTATAAATCCATTCCAGAAGATCACTATCTAATCAAAGAATAAAGACAGTAGAGCGTATTGTACAATTCGTATCATCGACAACTCATTCATATACGATATAACCAATATCATATAATGGTAGATTGCTATCACCTTTATTTATTGTATTACAAGAAGCTAATGATATGTTTGGACCAAGAATGGAGGAAAATTTTTTCAGACTAACAAATGTTATTGTATCAAAAACTTGCCAATGTATTTTATAATTATCAAT